AAGAACGCAGCAAACTGTGCGTCATCGTGTGAACTGCAGGACACATGAACATCGACATTTTGAACGCATATCGCAGTCCATGCTGTTATGTACTTTAATTAATTTTATAGTGCTGCTTGGACTACATATGGTTGAGGGTTGTAAGACTATGCTAAATAAGTTGTTTGAAAATTTTACGAAATTTTTAAGCATATTGTATATTATTGGATATATATATATATTCATAATATTGATATTAAATGAAAACGCATTATCTCTCATTGTTGTATATATTTGTGTGAGAAGAACGAAGAAAAATATATTTTTTTTCCCTTTTTGAATCAATTAAATACTGAGGAATGTCTAGCATAAAAAATTAATACATTTTTCATCTAGAATTGCCTCTTATTAATGATTTGGAAGGAAATTATGTTGTAAATATAAATATTTAATATTCTTCGTGGTGTTTGTTATAAAATACGAACATTTTAATGATTTCATTATGAGAACGTGCTATATATAATACATATAGTGTTAGTATCATATATAATTTTTAATATATGTATATACAACCTCAACTCATATGGGACTACCCCCTGAATTTAAGCATATTAATTAGGGGAGGAAAAGAAACTAACAAGGATTTTCTTAGTAGCGGCGAGCGAAAAGAAATCAGTTCAGCACTAAGTCACTTTGTCTATATGGCAAATGTGAGATGCAGTGTATGGAGCGTCAATATTCTAGTATGAGAAATTAACGATTTAAGTCCTTCTTAAATGAGGCCATTTACCCATAGAGGGTGCCAGGCCCGTATAACGTTAATGATTACTAGATGATGTTTCCAAAGAGTCGTGTTGCTTGATAGTGCAGCACTAAGTGGGTGGTAAACTCCATCTAAAACTAAATATAACCATGAGACCGATAGTAAACAAGTACCGTGAGGGAAAGTTGAAAAGAACTCTGAATAGAGAGTTAAACAGTACGTGAAACTGCTTAGAGGTTAAGCCCGATGAACCTGAATATCCGTTATGGAAAATTCATCATTAAAGTTGTAATATTTTAACAATATTATAATAATAGTGTGCATTTTTTCCATATAAGGACATTGTAATCTATTAGCATATACCAAATTTATCATAAAATATGGCTTATAGTTTATTCAAATTATTATGCTTGCATTTTAACATAGAATAAATGTCATTAATTTGATAAAGTGTTGATAAATTAAAATTAATACAGTGCGTTAATTTTTCGAAATTATATAATGGCATAATTATCATCGATTTTTGTGTTTATTATATGCATTTGTATGATTAACAATGCGAAAGATTCAGGATACCTTCGGGACCCGTCTTGAAACACGGACCAAGGAGTCTAACATATGTGCAAGTTATTGGGAGATAAACCTAATAGCGTAATTAACTTGACTAATAATGGGATTAGTTTTTTAACTATTTATAGATAATTAACACAATCCCGGGGCGTTCTATATAGTTATGTATAATAATATTTATATTATTTATGCCTCTAACTGGAACGTACCTTGAGCATATATGCTGTGACCCGAAAGATGGTGAACTATACTTGATCAGGTTGAAGTCAGGGGAAACCCTGATGGAAGACCGAAACAGTTCTGACGTGCAAATCGATTGTCAGAATTGAGTATAGGGGCGAAAGACCAATCGAACCATCTAGTAGCTGGTTCCTTCCGAAGTTTCCCTCAGGATAGCTGGTGCATTTTAATGTTATATAAAATAATCTTATCTGGTAAAGCGAATGATTAGAGGCCTTAGGGTCGAAACGATCTTAACCTATTCTCAAACTTTAAATGGGTAAGAACCTTAACTTTCTTGATATGAAGTTTAAGGTTATGATATAATGTGCCCAGTGGGCCACTTTTGGTAAGCAGAACTGGCGCTGTGGGATGAACCAAACGTAATGTTACGGTGCCCAAATTAACAACTCATGCAGAAACCATGAAAGGCGTTGGTTGCTTAAAACAGCAGGACGGTGATCATGGAAGTCGAAATCCGCTAAGGAGTGTGTAACAACTCACCTGCCGAAGCAACTAGCCCTTAAAATGGATGGCGCTTAAGTTGTATACCTATACATTACCGCTAAAGTAGATGATTTATATTACTTGTGATATAAATTTTGAAACTTTAGTGAGTAGGAAGGTACAATGGTATGCGTAGAAGTGTTTGGCGTGAGCCTGCATGGAGCTGCCATTGGCACAGATCTTGGTGGTAGTAGCAAATAATCGAATGAGACCTTGGAGGACTGAAGTGGAGAAGGGTTTCGTGTGAACAGTGGTTGATCACGAGTTAGTCGGTCCTAAGTTCAAGGCGAAAGCCGAAAATTTTCAAGTAAAAAATCAGTAAGCATATATTGTCAAATCTTTAATGATTTTTTTGAAATACTTGAATAATTTTGAACGAAAGGGAATACGGTTCCAATTCCGTAACCTGTTGAGTATCCGTTTGTTATTAAATATGGGCCTCGTGCTCATCCTGGCAACAGGAACGACCATAAAGAAGCCGTCGAGAGATATCGGAAGAGTTTTCTTTTCTGTTTTATAGCCGTACTACCATGGAAGTCTTTCGCAGAGAGATATGGTAGATGGGCTAGAAGAGCATGACATATACTGTTGTGTCGATATTTTCTCCTCGGACCTTGAAAATTTATGGTGGGGACACGCAAACTTCTCAACAGGCCGTACCAATATCCGCAGCTGGTCTCCAAGGTGAAGAGTCTCTAGTCGATAGAATAATGTAGGTAAGGGAAGTCGGCAAATTAGATCCGTAACTTCGGGATAAGGATTGGCTCTGAAGATTGAGATAGTCGGGCTTGATTGGGAAACAATAACATGGTTTATGTGCTCGTTCTGGGTAAATAGAGTTTCTATCATTTATGGTAGTTACTTGTTCCCCGGATAGTTTAGTTACGTAGCCAATTGTGGAACTTTCTTGCTAAAATTTTTAAGAATACTAGTTGGGTTAAACCAATTAGTTCTTATTAATTATAACGATTATCAATTAACAATCAATTCAGAACTGGCACGGACTTGGGGAATCCGACTGTCTAATTAAAACAAAGCATTGTGATGGCCCTAGCGGGTGTTGACACAATGTGATTTCTGCCCAGTGCTCTGAATGTCAAAGTGAAGAAATTCAAGTAAGCGCGGGTCAACGGCGGGAGTAACTATGACTCTCTTAAGGTAGCCAAATGCCTCGTCATCTAATTAGTGACGCGCATGAATGGATTAACGAGATTCCTACTGTCCCTATCTACTCAGTTGCTCTCTGACTGCTACTGGAAGCAGACGTGTTTTTTAAGCGCCCCGCTTTACCGTCGGTTTTCAATCGTTAAAGAGTGATTTTTTCCCGTGTGGAAATTGTTTACATTTGTCGCGAGTGTTCAGCGCTTTTGTGTATTAAATTACGCGTTAATTTGGTGCCCAATTAGTGTTGGAATTGGCAAATTAAAAATTTGTTGATTCGGCTCTGCAAAAGCCACGTGCGGCTTTAGCTCGACAACAAGTGCGTATAGCTCGTAAACAGGTTCGAGTTCGAAGCTTCCGTTCGAAGCTTTCGTTCGAAGCTTTGGCTCGAAGCCAAGTCGAGCTACTATCGAAGCTTGGTTGAAAACTTGGATAGTTGCATTTTGGTTCGTGTCTCCGCTAAGCTTTAGTGTCAGAGAGAACCGGTAGAGGGAGCCAGAGCATGGAGGTGGACACGGAGGCCGACGCCAGCGACGCTAGCCTGGCTAGTGTTGGAGCGAGCTCGTCGTCGAGTGTCCCCGCCCGTAGGCGGCGTCGGCCGAAGAATACTGCGGCAAAAAAGGGAGCGAAGAAGATCGGGCTGGGGATTGGGGTGACGGGAGAGTTGCCGATCCCAGCCGTCAGGTCGCCGCCACCGTCGCTCCCCTTTGTGGAAGTGGTAGCCACTGCAGAACCCTCTGCCGCTGCCACTGACACCGCTGCTGCCACCGCCAACAGCGCCGCCGCCACCAACGCCGCCGCCACCACTGCTGCCACTACCACTGTCGCCGCCACCACCGCTGCCAATACCACTGCTGCCACCGCCGCTACCGTCACCGCTGCCACATGCCAGGCAACTGGCATTGTTGCGGCTGGATTTTCGGCTGTTGCTGCGGAGTTATCGTCCATTAGGATGAGCGTTAGCGAGGCAGTCCTCAATGGAGGCATGACCCCGGAGGCCGCCATGGCAGTCTTCGTCGCTACCAATAGGTACGACGAGCTGGTTATGGCTCTGGCTGGGGACAAGGTGCGCCTGGAGGAGAGGGCACGTATGCCGCCTCCACAGAGGCCCGCTGCCGCTGCCCACGCTGCCACCACCACCGCTGTTCCCACCGCTGCGTATGCGGCAGCCTTCCCAGGCTTGCCGGCACCGAGCGCTGTCGCCCCACCGATCGCGAGGCCGCGCGAAACCTGGTCGGCTCTTATTAAGAGCACGAACCCGGAGGAGACTGGGAAGCAACTAGTGGAGCGAGTGAGAAAGGACGTTGTGCCCAAACTCGGAGTCCGAGTGCACGAGGTTCGTGAGCTGAAGAGCGGAGGAGCGATCATTCGCACGCCTTCGGTCAGCGAGCTCAGGAAGGTAGTGGACAGCGCGAAGTTCCAGGAAGCAGGACTGGAAGTGAGGAAGAGCCCGGAGACCAGACCTCAGGTCGTGGTGTATGACGTCGACACGTCCATCACGCCTGAAGAGTTCATGGAGGAGCTCTTCACTAAGAACCTGGAGGATTCCATGTCCGCTACGGAATTCAAAAAGACGGTTCACCTGGGCAGCAAACCCTGGTCGGTCACCGACGGCGCCACGATCAACGTGACGCTGGAGGTCGATGCGAAGGCACAGGAGGTGTTACGCGACTGCGTATACATCAAGTGGTTCCGATGCCGCTGTCGTTCCCTGGTCAGGACCTACGCCTGCCACAGGTGTGTGGGTTTCGACCACAAGGTGTCCCAGTGCCGCCTAAAGGAGAACGTGTGCCACCGGTGCGGACAGGGCGGCCACAACGTTTCGAGGTGCCCCAACCCGGTGGACTGCCGAAACTGCCGCTTCAAGGGCTACCCGGCAGCACATTCCATGTTGTCAGCGGCATGCCCGATTTACGCAGCGGTATTGGCGAGGGTGCAAGCTAGACATTAAATGTTTAGCTTCATCCAAGCTAATTGTGGCCGTGGCCGAGCGGCTGTGGTGGATCTCGGATCCATCATGCGCAACTCTGGCCATCTGTTCGCACTGGTCCAGGAGCCGTACGTCGATAGAGCAGGGCGGATTACTGGCCTTCCTTCGGGAATGCGAGTATTCCAGGACCGCCCCTTTCGTGACGGAAACCCGAAAGCTGCCATCATCGTCGATGAACCGGAAGCCATCTGCACGCCAATAGACCCCCTTACCACCGAACATGGAGTATGCGTCAGAGTGCAAGGAAGATTTGGCTCAATCATCCTATGCTCCGTATACTGCCAATTCAACACCGACTTGGAGCCGTACCTCAGGTACCTCAATGCGGTGCTGCTGCTGGCCAGCCGCACTCCCGTCATCTTTGGGCTCGACGCGAACGCAGTATCCCCAGCGTGGTTTAGCAAACTCTCCGAGCATGCTCGGGGGCAAGCTAACTATGCACGGGGTGAGCTGCTGTCTGAGTGGATTACCGAGAACCGAGCCGGCGTGCTCAACGAGGCCAGTCGGGTGTTTACATTCGATAACCGCAGAGCCCACAGCGACATCGATGTAACAATCGCCAATCAAGCTGCGACTATGTGGGCCACATACGTTTGGGAAGTGAGGGAATGGGATACGAGCGACCACAACATGATCCATGTTGAGGTGACGCGTGATCCGACCGACACAGTTGAGAGCATTGCTCCTGTGCCGTCCTGGAAGCTTTCCAATGCGCGCTGGCGATTGTTCGAGGAAGAGGTGGTAAGGGAGACATCCGAATTGCCGGAGGACATCGCCGAATCGCCGTTGGACAACCAAGTGGCTGCACTGCGCTCTGTAGTGCACAGTGTGTGCGACAGAGTGCTGGGACGCAGCACGCCCAGAGCCGCGAGGAAAGTAGTTTGGTGGACTGCCGAGCTACATTCCAAACGCCGAGAGGTCAGGAGACTGAGGCGGCGGCTACAGGACGCTCGTCGGCACGAGTCCGACGCAGCAGAGCAACTTGTGGTTGCGTTGAGGATCTCCTCGGCGCAATACAAGAAGCTCATCCTGAGGACGAAGGAGGACAACTGGCGACGCTTCGTGGGAGACAACAGAGATGATCCATGGGGGCACGTCTACAAGATTTGCCGAGGACGCAAAAAGTGCACGGAGATTGGATGCCTTCGGACGGATGGTGGGCTGGTTGCAACATGGCGCGACTGTGCGGGTGTGCTCCTCCGCAACTTTTTCCCTGTTGCGGAGTCGAATGCGCACATTGCCATCACGTCCGAAGCTCCACCGGCCCTTGTGGTTTCCGAGGTTGATGCTTGCGTCGCCAGGTTGAAGAGCAGACGCTCTCCCGGCATGGACGGCATCACAGGTGCCATTTGCAAGGCATTGTGGCGTGCCATCCCTCAGCACATGACAGCGTTGTATTCCCGCTGCCTGGAGACCGGATACTTCCCCAAGGAATGGAAACACCCTAGGGTGGTTCCACTCTTGAAGGGACCCGATAAGGACAGGACGGATCCTGCTTCATATCGGGGTATCTGTCTGTTGCCAGTGCTGGGCAAAGTGCTTGAGGGAATCATGGTGAATCGTCTGAAGGACACCATACCGGATGGCTGCAGATGGCAATTTGGATTTCGCCAAGGACGCTGTGTGGAGGATGCTTGGAAGCACGTCGTGAGCACTGTTTCGGCCAGCCGGTCGAAATATGTGCTCGGAGTCTTCGTGGATTTCAAGGGAGCCTTTGACAACGTCGAGTGGGATGCTGCACTACGTCGTCTCCTCGAGCTGGGCTGCCGTGAAGCAGGCTTGTGGCGAAGCTTCTTCTCCGGCCGGAGTGCGAGCATCGTCAGCAGGCATGGAGTAGCCACTGTTCCGGTGACAAGAGGTTGCCCACAGGGGTCCATAAGTGGTCCATTCATATGGAACATCTTGATGGACGTGTTGCTCCAGCGCTTGGAGCCACTTGGAGCGCTCAGCGCGTATGCCGACGACCTGCTCCTCCTCATCGAGGGAAACGCCCGTTCAGAGCTCGAGCGAAAAGGAGAGGAACTAATGTCCATCGTAGGCGCTTGGGGAGTTGAAGTCGGCGTTGCCGTTTCAACTAGCAAGACGGCGATCATGCTGCTCAAGGGCATACTTCGACGGCCGCCCTTGGTACGGTTTGCTGGAGCAAGCCTGCCATATAAGCGCGAATATCGGTACCTTGGCATCACAGTCGGTGAGCGGTTGAGTTTTCTCCCGCACATCACGGGCTTGCGTGATAGGCTGACTGGAGTCGTAGGGGCATTGTCTCGCGTACTGCGGGTCGACTGGGGTCTCAGTCCCCGCGCAAAGCGGACAATATATGCCGGACTCATGGTGCCCTGTGCACTATTTGGTGCCTCGGTTTGGTCTGTCGTGACGACGACGCAAGTGGTTGCCAGGAGGCACCTGCTTGCGTGCCAAAGGGCTATCCTGATTGGATGCCTACCGGTATGCCGAACAGTGTCCACCGTGGCACTGCAAGTACTTGCTGGAGCCCCCCCGTTTGATCTGGTCGCCAGACGCCTGGCAATCAGATTCAAACTCAAGCGTGACTACCCGCTGGAGGAGAGCGATTGGCTATACGGCGAAGATTTGGCAAATCTTAGCTGGAAGCAGAAGATGGCGCGACTAGAGGAATGCCTGCTGAGCGAGTGGCAACGCAGATGGGATGATGGTGACTCCCCAGGTCGGGTGACGCACCGCTTCATCCCGAACGCAGGCTTCGTCTACAGCGAGCCAAGGTTTGGCTTCACGCTGCGCGCTGGATTCCTGCTGACTGGCCATGGATCGCTCAATGCATTTCTGCATGAGAGAAGCCGAAGCGACACGCCTGCATGTCTATGCGGCGCAGAGCGCGAGGATTGGCAACACGTTCTATGTGTTTGTCCGCTCTATGCAGATTTGCGAGACCTTGATGGACTAGGAGTGCAGCACACGGATGGCGAATGGATCTTCTCGGAAGTGGTGGCTTCGCAGGAAAGAATGCAGTTGCTGGACAGATACGCTGGCGACGCGTTCTCCAGACGGCAACAACTGATGGACCCAATGGCGACAGACGGGCCGAGAGCCCCGGACTTGGAGAGTCCCCCTCAAGGGTACCCTATCCGAGCCAGTCGGGGCTAAAAGGGGAGGGTCCACTGAGCCCTAAAGATCGGTACCACGGGTTGTTCAGCGGTCCAAGGCTGTTCATTGAGGTAGGCCCCCTAGTGGGAGCATCGTGGTGGCTGTGGTAGGCTGAATTTTACGCGGCAAGAGCCGCTAGGCTCCACGTGGAGTTGCGATCTCAACCGGGTGCCGAGACCCATAGATCGGAAGAGGTGATAGATACACTTCGCTCCTCACCAAGGGGGAAAGTATGCCCGACTAGTATACTTTCGAATTGGTACCAGGGTGGGTCGCTATGTATTTGCTATAGCTTCTTATCCTGGGGCGTAAATTGGCGCATGTACCAGATTTACCGTGACATGTGCATTGCACTCAGCACATTAAACACCGTGGTTGAAATCCCTTCCTGTGGAACCGCCACGTTAAATAAAGCTGAGAGATCAGATTTATCTGTCCCTATCTACTATCTAGCGAAACCACAGCCAAGGGAACGGGCTTGGAATAATTAGCGGGGAAAGAAGACCCTTTTGAGCTTGACTCTAATCTGGCAGTGTAAGGAGACATAAGAGGTGTAGAATAAGTGGGAGATATTAGATTTCGGTTTGATATCGACAATGAAATACCACTACTCTTATTGTTTCCTTACTTACTTGATTAAATGGAACGTGTATCATTTCCTAGCCATTATACGGATATATTTATTATATCTTATGGTATTGGGTTTTGATGCAAGCTTCTTGATCAAAGTATCACGAGTTTGTTATATAATCGCAAACAAATTCTTTAATGAGAAGATGCATTTATGTGTTTTCAATTTGAAAATTTGGTATAACTCCAATTACTCAGGTATGATCCAATTCAAGGACATTGCCAGGTAGGGAGTTTGACTGGGGCGGTACATCTCTCAAATAATAACGGAGGTGTCCCAAGGCCAGCTCAGTGCGGACAGAAACCACACATAGAGCAAAAGGGCAAATGCTGACTTGATCTCGGTGTTCAGTACACACAGGGACAGCAAAAGCTCGGCCTATCGATCCTTTTGGTTTAAAGAGTTTTTAACAAGAGGTGTCAGAAAAGTTACCATAGGGATAACTGGCTTGTGGCGGCCAAGCGTTCATAGCGACGTCGCTTTTTGATCCTTCGATGTCGGCTCTTCCTATCATTGTGAAGCAAAATTCACCAAGCGTTGGATTGTTCACCCATGCAAGGGAACGTGAGCTGGGTTTAGACCGTCGTGAGACAGGTTAGTTTTACCCTACTAATGACAAAACGTTGTTGCGACAGCATTCCTGCGTAGTACGAGAGGAACCGCAGGTACGGACCAATGGCACAATACTTGTTCGAGCGAACAGTGGTATGACGCTACGTCCGTTGGATTATGCCTGAACGCCTCTAAGGTCGTATCCGTGCTGGACTGCAATGATAAATAAGGGGCAATTTGCATTGTATGGCTTCTAAACCATTAAAAGTTTTTAATTTACTTTATAAACGACAATGGATGTGATGCCAATGTAATTTGTAACATAGTAAATTGGGAGGATCATTGATCACCTGGTGCCGCGCTAGTTACATATAAAAACATTATTTAATACAATGACAAAGCCTAGAATCAATTGTAAACGACTTTTGTAACAGGCAAGGTGTTGTAAGTGGTTGAGCAGCTGCCATACTGCGATCCACTGAAGCTTATCCTTTGCTTGATGATTCGATATATATAATGTATTCTTTATATATGAATAGTATTTTTATATATTTATATAAATATATAATTATACATCTATATAAAAAAATATATTTTATATAATTATTATAAATATATATAGGTATGTATGAAAATCCTAACCTATATAATTTTACATATATTATCAAATATATGTAAATATGAATATGCAGAAAGAGAGAGAAAAATAATATAATATACAAAGGATATATAAAATATAGCAACTTACATAAATAAGAAATGAACAATATGATATAAATGCAAGTCGTAAGTTGTTATATATTATAGCTTCAGCATGATGAGAGTATGAAGAAAAGAAATGATATGATTATTTCATATGATATTTCGTATGATATTGGGCAATCATACATTGATACAAGATACAAGTTTAAAGTGGTTATTATAAAATAACAAAATGATGGCTTATATGGATATGGGAATTTTTCCCATATAGCTTCAGCATGATATGAGTATGAAGCAAAGATATGATATGATTATTTCATATGATATTTCGTATGATATTGGGCAATCATACATTGATACAAGATACAAGTTTAAAGTGGTTATTATAAAATAACAAAATTATGGCTTATATGGATATGGGAATGTTTCCCATATAGCTTCAGCATGAAATGAGTATGAAGCAAAGATATGATATGATTATTTCATATGATATTTCGTATGATATTGGGCAATCATACATTGATACAAGATACAAGTTTAAAGTGGTTATTATAAAATAACAAAATGATGGCTTATATGGATATGGGAATTTTTCCCATATAGCTTCAGCATGATATGAGTATGAAGCAAAGATATGATATGATTATTTCATATGATATTTCGTATGATATTGGGCAATCATACATTGATACAAGATACAAGTTTAAAGTGGTTATTATAAAATAACAAAATTATGGCTTATATGGATATGGGAATGTTTCCCATATAGCTTCAGCATGTAATGAGTATGAAGCAAAGATATGATATGATTATTTCATATAATATTTCGTATGATATTGGGCAATCATACATTGATACAAGATACAAGTTTAAAGTGGTTATTATAAAATAACAAAATTATGGCTTATATGGATATGGGAATTTTTCCCATATAGCTTCAGCATGATATGAGTATGAAGCAAAGATATGAAATGATTATTTCATATGATATTTCGTATGATATTGGGCAATCATACCTTGATACAAGATACAAGTTTAAAGTGGTTATTATAAAATAACAAAATTATGGCTTATATGGATATGGGAATTTTTCCCATATAGCTTCAGCATGATATGAGTATGAAGCAAAGATATGAAATGATTATTTCATATGATATTTCGTATGATATTGGGCAATCATACATTGATACAAGATACAAGTTTAAAGTGGTTATTATAAAATAACAAAATTATGGCTTATATGGATATGGGAATTTTTCCCATATAGCTTCAGCATGATATGAGTATGAAGCAAAGATATGAAATGATTATTTCATATGATATTTCGTATGATATTGGGCAATCATACATTGATACAAGATACAAGTTTAAAGTGGTTATTATAAAATAACAAAATTATGGCTTATATGGATATGGGAATTTTTCCCATATAGCTTCAGCATGATATGAGTATGAAGCAAAGATATGAAATGATTATTTCATATGATATTTCGTATGATATTGGGCAATCAATCATACATTGATACAAGATACAAGTTTAAAGTGGTTATTATAAAATAACAAAATTATGGCTTATATGGATATGGGAATTTTTCCCATATAGCTTCAGCATGATATGAGTATGAAGCAAAGATATGAAATGATTATTTCATATGATATTTCGTATGATATTGGGCAATCATACATTGATACAAGATACAAGTTTAAAGTGGTTATTATAAAATAACAAAATTATGGCTTATATGGGTTATATGGATATGGGAATTTTTCCCATATAGCTTCAGCATGATATGAGTATGAAGCAAAGATATGAAATGATTATTTCATATGATATTTCGTATGATATTGGGCAATCATACATTGATACAAGATACAAGTTTAAAGTGGTTATTATAAAATAACAAAATTATGGCTTATATGGATATGGGAATTTTTCCCATATAGCTTCAGCATGATATGAGTATGAAGCAAAGATATGAAATGATTATTTCATATGATATTTCGTATGATATTGGGCAATCATACATTGATACAAGATACAAGTTTAAAGTGGTTATTATAAAATAACAAAATTATGGCTTATATGGATATGGGAATTTTTCCCATATAGCTTCAGCATGATATGAGTATGAAGCAAAGATATGAAATGATTATTTCATATGATATTTCGTATGATATTGGGCAATCATACATTGATACAAGATACAAGTTTAAAGTGGTTATTATAAAATAACAAAATTATGGCTTATATGGATATGGGAATGTTTCCCATATAGCTTCAGCATGAAATGAGTATGAAGCAAAGATATGATATGATTATTTCATATGATATTTCGTATGATATTGGGCAATCATACATTGATACAAGTTTAAAGTGGTTATTATAAAATAACAAAATTATGGCTTATATGGATATGGGAATTTTTCCCATATAGCTTCAGCATGATATGAGTATGAAGCAAAGATATGATATGATATTTCATATGATATTTCGTATTATATTGGTTATTATAAAATACCATCAGGCTTGTATGGATATGGGAATGTTGCCCGTAAAAAAAAACCTTATAACTTGAGGATGATATGATTATGATATACAACATTTAAATTTATCTCATATACATATGATGTTAAATGAAATATCATATCAGAATGTCTGTTCTATTGTATGTTTATATTGTATATGAATAATAATGAAATCTTTATGTACATTTGTGTTAAAATACTACGGATATAAATGATATTAAGAGGCACTCGCAGTTAAAAACACCCGATTTTCGGAAGCCGTGGCAAAAAACCTATACATGGAGTGGTGTCGTGCTTGGTATATGTCATATGAAGAAAAATAAAAATTTTTTATTTTCATATGATATGGGGAATATACTTTGCTGGCAATGTCTGTTATATTATATGGTTGGATATATATATGTTTATTAATATATATGAATAATATTGAAGTGTAAATGCGTTTCTTGTATTAAAATACGAGAACAAATGATTGTTAAGAGGCACTCGCAGTTAAAAACACCCGATTTTCGGAAGCCGTGGCAAAAAACCTATACATGGAGTGGTGTCGTGCTTGGTATATGTCATATGAAGAAAAATAAAAATTTTTTATTTTCATATGATATGGGGAATATACTTTGCTGGCAATGTCTGTTATATTATATGGTTGGATATATATATGTTTATTAATATATATGAATAATATTGAAGTGTAAATGCGTTTCTTGTATTAAAATACGAGAACAAATGATTGTTAAGAGGCACTCGCAGTTAAAAACACCCGATTTGCGGAAGCCGTGGCAAAAAACCTATACATTTTTTTTTTTTTTCAACTGTGTTTCAACTTTATTTAAGATCTGTCTTTCGCAGACAATTATTAAATTTCCTCTTTGGGTACTTGGCAATCTTTTTTCAGGTTATCTTACAATATTTTATGTATAATTTCAGTATGTCAAGCTGCTAAGTTCCAGGGGAGGTCCAGCGGGTGGTCTCTTTGAAGTCTTCTGGTGGTTGTGCTGTTGTCCAGAAGGCCAATAGCTAGGTTGTTGTCGTGTTGGTGCAGACGTGTGAGGTACCTGGTGCTACTCTCGGCGATCACTTCCGTAACCCACGGTATCTTGAGGACGCTGTGGATTGTTTCGTTGTCGTGGTACATATGCGCATTACTGACTATGCGCAGGGCTTTATTTTGAAAAGTTTGTATAATCCGCCTGTTTCTTCGTCTGGCAGTTCCCCACAGTTGAATGCCGTAGGCCCATATTGGTTTAATGATCGCCTTGTAGACGAGCAGCTTCGACCGAGTGTTGAGTTTGCTTTTGCGGCCAATTAGCCAGTAGTGTTTCTTCAGCTTGTCATCCGCCTGCTTTCTTTTCTTTATCAGGTGAGCCCTCCAGGTTAGCCTCCTGTCAAGTGTCATGCCAAGGTATTTCGGCGTTTTTTCGTCCGGGATTATGACCCCTTCCAGGTATACAGCTGGACAGTTACCCGGCCTTAACGCGAATGTGGTGGCTGTGGACTTCTCGTTGTTGACCGCGATGTTCCACCTCCTCTGCCAGTCGTTGACTATATCCAGCTCAGATTGCATTATTTGAGAGGCCTCCTCCGGAGTATCAGCAGTGGCTACGAATGCTGTGTCGTCGGCGTAGGTGGCGACAAGTAGCTCGGGGCTCTCAATCACTGGCAGGTCTGCAGTGTATAAGTTGTAAAGCAGTGGGCCGAGCACACTGCCTTGAGGGACGCCAGCTCTGATGCTCTTCAGTGTTGAGCTCGCATTTCCGCATTTCACTAGGAATTGCCTGTCAGCTAAGTATGAGGCAAGGAACGCGTAGTAGGCCGTCGGTAGATTCCTCCTGATTTTGAAGAGTAGCCCGGTGTGCCAGACTCGGTCAAATGCCTGTTTAACGTCAAGCATTACAGCACAGCAGTATTTCTTGGACTCAAACGCGTCCAGGATTCGTTGGACGACTCTGTGGCATTGCTCCGGGGTTCCATGACCACGCCTGAAGCCAAACTGGTGATCGGGGATCAAACCAGCCTCGTCCAATACTGGCAACACTCTACGCAAGAATACTCTTTCGAGTATTTTGGAGAGCGTCGCCAGCAGACTGATCGGACGATAAGAGGCAAGATTGGCCTCAGGTTTTCCAGGCTTTGGTATCATTACTACCTGGGCTCGTTTCCATTGCGCTGGAAAGTGCCCAATCTGTAGGCATCTATTGAAGAGCTTAGTAATAAGTTCGATGCAGACTGGGGGTAGTAGCTTCAGTGCAATTGCATTGATACCATCATCGCCTGGCGCTT